ATAGTCAGTGGTAGCTCTAATTTATAGGCAGAATGAGAAACTCTTTTAACGATACGAAAGGGCCCCAGCCAACGATGGTCCAATTTGGGGCTGGGTCTTGTCGTCAAGATATTCTTGCTGCTCAGCCAGACACGCTGTCCAACGTTCCACAATGGTGTGTCCCTGATTCCTTTATCGAATTGATTCTTCATTGCTTCTTGAGCACCTAACAAACACTCATGTAATTCCATCTGTACTTCTGTAAGTCTTTTGATCCGTTCTTCTACCGCCGGTATGCACTGATCTTCCGACGGAATTGCACCTAAACTTAAGTCGTATCCGTAATTTGCCTTGAAGGGTGATACACCAGTAGATGTGTGGGTGCTATTGTTGTAAGCGAACTCGGCCGGTGGTAGTAAGGCCTCCCAGTCGTCCTGATGATAAGTAACAAAATGGCGTAAGTATTGCTCTACAACTTTGTTAGCAATTTCTGATTGGCCATCCGTCCGAGGGTGCCAGGCTGTTGAAGGGTGCAGAGATATTCCTAGTCTCTTATTCAACTGTGAGGTGATTTTTGATACAAATATACTACCCCTGTCCGAAATGATCGTTTTGGGGGTGCCGTGAAGTTTCCAAACTTCCTTAAGCATTAAATCAGCTAAAGCCTCCGCGCCGTCTGTCTCTTTGCATGGTAAAAAGTGAGCCATTTTTGTCAGACGGTCAATAACAGTGAGGATACTATCCTTGCCGTTTGATAGAGGCAACCCTGTGATCAAATCATAACTGATGTCGGTCCAGGGTCCGGCTGGGATAGGTAATGGTTCTAAAGCTCCAAAGGGTTTCATCAGTGAAGGCTTGATACGTTGACAAGATGTGCAACCATCGACGTAGCGGTTAACATAAGCCTTCTGTCCCGTCCAAACGTAGTTACGTCTCACCGAACTGAGGGTCTTGGCTCTGCCTGGATGTCCCGCTAGCTTACTGTCATGGTACGTCTTGAGGATGCCCGAACGCAGTTCCTCATTGGAGGGGACTACTGCTTTACCTCTGTGATACAGTACGCCGTCGACCACTTCGTATTCACCCACTGCTCCTTTGAGTTTCAAGGATATAGGGCTGGTAACGGCGGATATCAGTTCAGTCAATTCATGATCTTGAGGCGTGAGTTCCCTAATTTTATCGACTATGTGTGTATCCGACCATTGTAAATTGCATACCTCTGTGGTATTGTCAGAATTATCGTTAGCCTCTACACCTAAGACATCTAATTCAAACCACTTAGTTGCGTCTGAGTGCTCGACCTCTATGTCCTCCTGAAACTGCGCTTCAAATGAGTCGAGTTCAGCAAACGTGTCGTCAGTGATGTTTGATGGTCGCAACAGTTGCCCAAAGGTTAGCTTCTCCTCTGATGATGGGGCCAAGTCTGGTCGTCGTGATAGGGCGTCAGGCTGAGTTGAATGTCGGCCGGGTCGAAATTTAATGACAAAGTCAAAACATGCCAAAGTTTCGGCCCATCTGGCTTGTCTTCGAGTAAGCTGCTTTGTGGTCATGAAGTTTTCTAGGTTCTTGTGGTCGGTGTACACGGTGACATCAAGACGGTGAGGGTTGCCCTCCAAATACTGCCTCCATTCCTTGAAAGATGCGACTAAGGCAAGTAACTCCTTATCGAAGATTTTGTAATTCCTCTCAGCAGGTATTAGAGACCGTGATAAATATGCGACAGGGTGGATTTCGCCATCCTTTGTACTTCGTTGCGATAGAACTGCACCCAGTGCGAAATCTGAGCAGTCGCACTCCAGTATAAACGGCTGATAGGGGTCGGCTATCTTCAGAACTGGCGCGGTTGTGAACGCCGTCTTGAGCTCGTCGAAGGCAGCCTGTCTTTCCGGAGTCCATGTAAAGGGAGTATCCTTTCGTGTGAGATCATGGAGGGGTCTGGCTTTCTTGGAAAATTGATCAATGAATTGTCGATAGAAATTCGAGAACCCAATAAATCGAAGGACATCTGAGGTCGTCTTTGGTGCTGGCCAGTCCGTTACCGCTTGAACCTTAGCGGGGTCCATCTGAATTCTGTTCTTTGAAATTACGAGTCCTAAGTAGCTCACTTCCGACTTGGAAAATTCGCACTTTTCGGGTTTAAGCCACAGGGATTGACCATCAAGGATTTGTAGAATTTCTTCTACCGCGTCCTCATGATTAGTATCACTCTTGGAATAGACCATGATGTCGTCTAAAAATGCCGCGGCGTCTTTCCCAATACGTCCCAGTAAGATGTCCTGTATGAAATACTGGAAGCATCCCGGTGCACCAGTCGGCCCAAAGGGCATTGTTAACGGCGCGAACTAACCATTCTTGCATATGAAGGCCAATTTGTCTTCGTCGCCTTCCGCCACCCGGATATTACCGTACGTGTTTCGTAAGTCTAACTTGGTGTACCTTTCTGCGTCTAAGAGGCTGTCAATGAGATCCATTGTCAACGGTAACGGGTACCTGTTCTTGACGGTAAGTGCATTCAGGCGTCGGTAGTCAAAGCAAGGCCGTAAATTGCCGTCTTTTTTCCCGGTAAACAGAACTGGGGCCGCCCATGGGGATGTCGTACGTCGTATTGTGCCGTTGGCCAATCCTTCATTGATCATTGTATCCAGTGCTTCATTCTCTGCTGGGGATAGGGGT